TTCTACCTGAAGTTTGTGCCGTTGATGTTGTTCAGAAGAACAATGAAAGCTCCATAAACAAACTATTCAGTTCAGAGAACAAAACTCCATCTATACAAGTAAGATCTCAATATAAATTTCAGTACATTTGTATCATGGTAAGCTATAAAATCTATAACCTGCTTCATATCCTTAATGAAACTTATGAACTTGATGTACATGCATTACAGTGTTGATATTTATTCTCACTTACTCAAAGAGCTGAACACAAACATTGAAAAAGTACCTGCTCCTGTCTGGGCAGCCGGGCAGTATCACAGCCCACACACAAATATAATGAAAATGATGATATTCACTGGAAACTCTATTCTCGCTTCGATTTACAGTCAAACAATTCACATTATTATTATTATTACTATTATTTACTGCGTCATTTATTCACTCTCTTTTATTCCCGCTTTATGTATCCTTATTTTTCGAACTATACAGCAGCTCGCCCATGGTGGGAACTCGGTTCTATCTAAACGTTTTCGAGTCACTGCCTGGTTGAAAATTGTATGCTACCACCGAATACGAATACTGAAGCAGTTTTTCTGTAACCACGTGCACCATTCAAATTGGCTGCCTTCAACGTTCGCACAATTATGCAGGTTAGACAACAGATAGGGCTAGCTATGTCTTTGAAAAGTCTTAATATTGACGTTTGTTGTCTATCCGAGACCCGTATTCAAGACTCTGATGAAGTACTACAAATTCGCTCTCCATCTGTCACTTCAAAAAGCTTGTTCTACGTGCGTTTATCCGGGGACGCTGTGGCATCTTCGTCTGGTCTTGCTGGCGTTGGTGTTGCACTAAGCGCTAGAGCTGAGGCAGCACAAATCGATTGGTTCTCGATTAATAGTCGGTTATGTGTTGTTAGATAAGAAAGTTTCATTAAAGTGAGGAGAAATCGGAGTGAGAAACTATGTCTTTTCGTCATCTCCGCCTATGCTCCGACAGATTGCAGCCCGGATGCGATGAAGGATGAATTCTACCACCAGTTATCTGTTTTTCTCCAGAAAGTTCGTTCGACAGATATTGTAGTACTAGCCGGAGACTTCAATGCTCAGGTCGGGCGTCTAGGCACAGAAGAGAGTCGTTTAGGTGGCCGATGGGGACTCGTTGGTCGCAGGACAGATAACGGGGAACGTCTACTGCAGCTATGCACAGACCACAACCTGTTTCTGGCTAGCACTAACTTTCGGCACAGTCATCGCCGATGTGCCACCTGGCGTCCTCCTTCTGCATCTCAAGCCTGGACTCAGATTGACCACATCGCGATCAGCTACCGCTGGCGTGGTTGTGTACAAGACTGCCGCTCCTTTTGGAGTACCTATCTGGAATCTGATCATGCTCTGGTCTGCGCCAATCTTATCTTACTTTTCAGTGGACAACGAAGTGACCGCCACCAAAGGATTGATGTTAGCAAGCTGGCTGCAACTTCTGTTGCTAGTAAGTATCGAACCGAGCTAGCTTCTAGGTTAGCTACCATTCCACCGAAAAGTATGGATGAACATTGGTTGCAATTGCATGACGCCTTGAAAATGGCGGGCACAGTCTGTTGTGGGTTTGCGAAACGTCCCGCTTACAAGCACTGGGTTTCTTCTGGTTCCTTACAACTGATTGAAGCCCGTCGGTCTACTCCGGGTGACCGTGAGTTTGACCACAGACGAGGGATGTTACATACTGAAATTGGGCAAAGCTTGCGTAAGGACCGAGAAGCCTGGTGGTCGGAGCGTGCTAATGAGCTGGAAGCAGCAGCTGCATCTGGTAATTACCGGAGGCTCTTCCAACTCATCCGAGCCACTGGCAGCAAGAAGTCTGGTGTGAGCGAAACAATCTGCGAGGATGACGGAACGCCAATCATTAACATCCATCGACGTCTTGGACGATGGGCAAAATTCTTTGAAGGGCAGTTCAACTGGATGCTGCTCCGGTAACATCGGTCAGACTGTCCTGCCCTCCATGGCCGGTGAAGACTGATCCACCAAATGAGGCAGAAGTCCGCAAGGAACTCCAACTCTTGAAACGTTACAAATCACCGGGTCCAGACGACTTACCTACGGCTCTTTTTAAAGATGGTGGTGACTTTCTGACTAAGGGACTGAGGACGTTGTTTACAAAGGTCTGGGAACTAGAGTGTGTACCAACGTCATGGAATGAGTCGATAGTTGTCCCTATCTTTAAAAAGGGTTCACGTTGTTCCTGTAACAACTATCGGGGGATAAGTCTACTTCCGATCGCGTCCAAGTTATTGGCTTCCGTCATACTTCGTAGGTTGTTCAGAACCCGAGAAGGATTGACTCGCGAGGAGCAGGCTGGTTTTCGTTCTGGTCGAGGATGTATTGATCATATCTTCACCCTCCGCCAAATGTTAGAACACCGCCATACTTATCAAAGGCCAACAAGTTATTAATAATAATTACAATATAACTATTTATAAAATTCGATATATATATATACATATATATATATATATATATATATATATATATATATATATACCATTGTTTCAGTTCTATATTTACTAATATTATGAGATCATTTACTTAATCAAATGTTTGATGTTAATGGTTGATAAATAAACCGCCAAATGTCAATTATACCAATGAACTATAGAAATTTTCAATTTGTTGTTGTTGTTGTTTTGTATTTCTTTTTTAAATAGGACATAAATTCTTTTTAAGTGTACTTCTCTATATTTATATTAATAATAATAGTAATAATAATAATAATAATAATAATAATAATCTTAGTTTATTGTTTGAATGAATTCATTAATCTTATTGTTATAATCAAATGAATTTGTTATTTCTCTTTAAACAATCCGCAATACTTTGATATTAATTTTAATATATTTCTACTTTAAATAATATAATCTGAATATAAAAATAGAAGAGCTAAATTTAAATATAATTTATATTAATACATATATAATTAATCAACTTTTTTTATTATAAATAAATCTTTATTGAAATACTGTCATAATCAATATGAAACGAGAAATCTTCTAATGATATTATAATGTTCATTTTGTTGTATCTGATATTAGCTAGTTAGTTAATTATAAATGTATATCATTATATTTTATGCAATAATAATAAGAAGAAGAAGAAAATAGTTATTTAAAGTAATAATATTACATAATATCCGATTATATTGATAAATGGATATATATATTGAACATATAAATATTGCTACAAAGGGGAACTGAATACATATGTGTCACACAAGTCACTTGATTTGTATGCGGGTTAGGATACTGCCTGGATGCTCAAACTGAAGTAGGTGGTTTTATTAGGGTGCAACACAAGGCAGTGGAGCAACGTACCATGGTAGATGGTGGCCAATAATTGGTTCATAAGCCATTTGTTTCCTTAAAATTCTGGAGTTCATATGCACTTTTGGTTTGGAATTACAGTTTTCCAACTCCTCTAGGTGAATCCTCCATATCCACCGGACCGGTTAAAGCGTCGGACATTCACTTTTTGTCCTATCAGTCTCGTAAATAACACCCCCAACTCGAGAAGGCAGTGAGTAGGACTTCTCTGTCAATGCCTGTAATTGCGTGACCAGGTGAGGTTATTTCGAGAGGGAAAGCTGACTATCTCTGCCCTTGATTGTATCAGGGCATTTGTATACGTGTATGCAACTATAAATCCTAAAGATATCATTAACAATTGAATTACAGTAAAGCAAGCAGATCTTACATGTTAATTATTAATTAAGTTATTTATTATTTACAGTGTTAATTTTGATGAAGAAAATGATTAGATTTATTAGTGTTGTATGCTTTATATAAACACCGAAAATTCATTCTAATGCTTAACGACTATCTTCATTTTCACTCATAGCTAACTTCTAAAGGATTATTATATATTTCTGTAACAGGGTCATACTTTATTTCAATAAATGATATCATATGTAAAGTTGACTGGCAACTACCATTTCTTCTTAAACATTTCATTGGAAATCTCGAAATTATTGTTAAATGTTACAATCTAATAATTGAATTCATGAGTCAATTGAAGCTAGATTAAAATGAAAAACTTGGAAGCACTGGATGGCCGTTTTGTTCTAGTAAGGGACTCCTTAACAGTGCGCATCTACAATCTCGCCTCGCGAGATTCAAAGAAAACAATATTCATTAGAATAACAGTCAATAACAACTAAATATCTTAAATAAAACTAAACACATATCTTAGTATTATATCCCGATAAGAATTATAAATGGTAACTTTTGTGATCCATTTACGGACCAAGACTATACGTACATTTTTATCATATAATTGTCAAATAACTAAACAATCCATATTCGTGTCCCTCTTATTATGAGCTTTATTTTGACTTATAAACTATTATTATACAATCTACCATTCTTGAATTATGCCCTGTCTATTAATTACTACCTCCCTCATTCACAGCTACATTTGGCTAAATCTTGTACAAATGTTGTTTCCTATTTTATGGTACGATGTTGTCTGTCCGGTTGGTATATAAACTCAGTATGTTTGAAATAAATAATTCATAACGCAGAGGCTGAGATTGGTATTCTGGACTTAACTGGCTAGGCTAGGCAAGAAGCAGGATCAATAAGGACTCTAGACTTCTCGCACGGGTTCTATACATCAATGGTTCAATCGATAATTCAATGCTCTCTAATTGGCGGTATCATTACGTTATACATTAACAAGGCACTCAGGCCACAAGTTATAACACTTAGTTCATGAATTTCTAACCTTACTATTATCAAAACTAATATTCAATTGACAATGATAATGTGATATACACACTAAAAAGACATTGTATTTGCGAAAATAAGTCAATTATTTCATAGATATCTGTTTAAATACTCTTTTAAATTTTTTTTTTCTAAATCACCTAAACAAATTATCATCTTCTAGATGAAGATAAATAAAAATAAATTCATGAATATGCTTATTACTCTTTTTGTCAAATCTTTTTTTTTTTTTAATTTTAAGATTCAACGACAAGAACAAGAATTGATTAGTGAATTACATCAATTTGTTGGTGAACGTAATATGCATCATATACAGAATCAATCGGATCAAGAACAAAATATTGAAATTGCTGAAAGTCTATTTAAAGATATTGCCAATTCATTAGATAATCAAGATATGGAATTATTATTAATTCGATCAAATTTATATGAAAAAATTACTGAATTAAATCATTTAGAATTAATTACAGATAAATTTGATGCAATGAAATTGGAAATATATTTTCGAACTGGAGCTGTAAATCTAGGCTATTTAACAAATGAATCAGCAATGAATAATATACATCATCACGCTGACGATGATGATGAAGATGATGATGACGAAAATTATGAAGATTTATCTATGCCTCTGGAATGTAGTTCATCTTCGACCGGTTCTAATACATCATCATCCATAGAATTAGCTAACAGGTAAATTTTTTTACTACTTTACTGATCATTCTCTTTTTTTTTAATCAATAACTTGATTCGGGAAACAAGTGACAAGTGATTTAATAAATAGAAAATATGAATTTTCATTATTTGGTTTTCAAAAGTCTTTCATTAAATACTACTCAATTAAAAACTTGAAACCTGAAGTATGGTTCAGTTTAGGTAATCTTTTAGTTAGTTTATTTGTCTGAATAGTTTACCTGACCCATATACATTTATTATAATTTATAAGTCGACATGGCGTCGGTTTATACTTAGCAATCAATATGAAGAGGAAAAAGTGTTCAATAGTCGCACTAAATAGAATGATATATAGGTTTTAATTTAAATTTGAACATTTTCACCATGTAAAACTTTGATAGTAACTTTTTTGACTAGTCATTTAAACGACTTCATACCACATTGCTACGTTAAACATGAAAGATTTTTTCACTTCAAATAAATTCAATTTTTGTTTAAGAGAAGAATGTCAAAATAAACTGTCACTGATTGACTATAATTGAAAAACCATTGAATGGCATGAAGCCCTAAATAATTGTTTCATCATATTTACTCACTCATCATAAATGCACTATAAGGACCTCATCATGAAGAGACCTCTGGTGCATCAGATCTGATGGTTGTGATGAATATATCGAAGGGTTCCTTAAATATATACCCATGAATTCATTTTATTTCATCCAGCTCTCACCAACTGTAATCAGTGATATTTAAATATTAAGATTTCAAACAACTCAATAACCACTTTAATTAAAGTACTACAAATTAGTCAGTCTATAATGTAAATAATACTTTTTACAATGTAGCGAGGTCTATAGGAAACATAACGAAGTTATACGCTACGTTAATTTGTCACGATCACTTAGTACATCAAAGGAAGTTTCCTGAAAATTGTTAGGAATAATAACAAATTATGGAGCTTGAAAAAGTAGATCACACAGCTGAACAATCCACTGGGTCTCTAAAAAAACAAAAATTTACTGAGTTTTTAAAGTGCATCCCAATGATTTTTAAGTTTTATAGTATTATATTCAATTAACAAGACAATGGCACTCAATAAAACTGACCATTAAATCTATGTGAAATTACTGTGAACAAACGCTAACACTTTTGGCGTAATCAAAAGTTAGTTTGATTTATTCCACGGGAAAGCACTTCAACTGTTGTCCGATATAAATAAGATTTTAGAATATAATTAACCTAATAATGAATTAGAAGACTCTAGTGTTAAGTTATTTGATAGTAAACCATTAAAGATTTTACGCGTCTCGTGTTATTATCTTTTCTGTAATTTTATTGGCTAAATATAGACCATGCATAAATTCAACCGCTTGCCAAACAGATATAAGCTTAACAGATCCAAACGATCAATGTAATTTAACTGTTCAACAGATCCAACTACCAACTAAGCAGTGCCGTACACGAGCATGCAATACAGAATTAATATCGATGACAAATCAAGAAACAAATACACGTCCACGTGGTATTCATACAATAATCACTTTTTCAGATATTTCTTCAAATGCAGCGTCGGAAGAATTTTTAGCTAAACTTGATAAAGAAACAATAAATTTTAATGAGATGGATAATCTAACTAGAGCGAGGATACGTCGTAAACTTCATGAACGTTTTAATACAGTTGATCAGATTTCAAATGGTGGTAATAGTAACGGCATTTTGTGTAATGCACCACATACATCATTGCATTTTGGATCAAATGGAACATCGCCAGCCTCAATAACTCAACCGACAAATGTCAATAACAATACTATTTATAATCATAACGATGCTCATTCAAGACGTTATAGCTCTTATGATAAACGTTTTCATTTCTAAATACGATTGCTCTTATTTGAAATATGCATCTACGTTTCGGTGTTTTAATATTTCTTTATTTAAAGTTTCATTAAATTCATGGACACTTGTAATCAAGTGACAATAAATTATGACCTAGTACATTGTTTTATGACTATTTTATTCTTTACTTGTTACGTTAGGAAATTATGAGATCTTTTTAAATATTTGTTTCCATAACAACTTTATAGTAAAGAAATTTATTCCACACAACCAGTTTTTAGAGTTTGAATAGATCTACATGATTAGAAACCGAATGACAGGTATTCCATAGTGAATTTGAAATTATTGGTAGCTAATGAAAGTTAAACTCTAATCACAGGTGTGTTTAGTTTACGTTAAGGGAACAGATCTCAGTTGAATTAGTTGGGCAGAAGTAAACTGTATGGGCGATCTTGGAAATCGCAATTACCCTTGATCGGGATACTAGCCAATCAGAAAACAATGTTGTGGTGATGAAACCATGTGTAATAAAAACGTGATAAAATGACATGGGGATAGGAGTGTTGACATTCATAATGAACCTTTACATGCAAGTTGTTTTCTACAGTAGAGGAAAATGGTTTAGGGTTTGGAGATCGGATTAAGAACTAGGACTAAACTTTGAGATTACAATTCCGAACTTTTAAACGACCTGGTATTGTAGTGAACAGAACACAGGTGGGGACAATTGAATGTATTTAACAACAAATTACAGAACTAGTAAGTAAAATCCAACAACCAGCTATATTTCAAGAGTTAGGGTTACAAGGCGTAGCTCCAAAGTTGCCTTAATTATATCGAAGAATAAACTTCGCGCATATTTTCAGGAAACCTTATCTTAGATTTATTTGGTTCTTCAATGAAGGATGGTACCACCCTAGTGACTTTCAGATTGCTCCACAAAATTAAAAAATCTCACTTTGTACTATCTTTCCATGGAATATCATAAAATTTTTCATTTCTATTCTTGGAATCCAACGAATTCATCCCTATTCTTTACAATTCTCATAATTACCAGCATTCAGCGTCTGAAAGAATAATGTATCTGCACCAGATTCACGACTTCATATTTTTCCTCTTATTTGCAATACTTATAGGCGCGACGGTTTGTTTGTTTTTTATCACTGATCAGTTACCGCTCTTTGTCCCACGTCGTCATTTTCTTAGTCACTGTAGTCTTTGAGTTAAATAATAGTTTCTTTAGATCTTATTATAGTATAATACCTTCACTTGTATACACAATTTCACTTATTTCTCAGATCCTGGTCGATTACTGATCATTGGTATATGGATAAAATAGGTTTGAGAATCAGAAGTTTGTATATTAGATTTGTAGTAGCCCGTGATCTGACTCCAAATGGATCGTAATGATTGATTGTTGTGGAAATATATGCGCCTTATCCTCGTATATTATCATTGACTTAAATCGCGTTAGTTAATAACGAAATTAAATAAGTCGAATAACGAGAATGAACTTTTGAATGCATATATTTTGTATAATTGTTGATTAGACAAACGAACGGGGGAAACGATGCGAAGCAAAAATGGCGCACGGTGAAGCTGGCTGGTAAGCAAACTTCCCCTTAACAAATAGTTAATCAATATTTATAAGAACATAAAGATAAATTACAAACATGTGATGAACAGTGGGATAAGAAGTGCACACATGCCTACGCGCTCATATAAAGACAGTCAAGATTGATAAGCGAATAATTAACAAGGTCAAAATATGACTCAGATAGAATGAATAGATTTAGATATCCGAAAGCTAGAATAAGGTATATAAGCTTAACATAATAGCAGACACTACAGATTCAGGCCTACTATTTTTAGCCGTCATATCTATGTTACCAAACTGTTATTTCTAGTACGATTAACACGGGTAGAGATAGGATTTACGTAATCCTAGCGAAAGTTTTCGAAGATTAATCTGACTATTCATTTAGATTCCTCATACTTTTCTTCTACTTGTTTCTCATCAGGATGGTGTTTAATGTAAATGGACGGAAATCCGAAATCCATAACATTTCATCTAGATTTATCAGTAACTGGGTAACAGCTTTCCGTCGTCTTTGGTTCTAATACTTCTGACCAATCAGTCAGGTTTTTGTTCTGTCGAACCCATCATTATACCAAATTACTTTGGTTCATCTCAGATGTAAAGCCTGAGTGAACAGTCGGCAAAACGTTGTCAGACTGATGACTAATTACTCGATATACAATACTTCAGAGCAATATGTAAATCAAAAATGGAATGCTTTGAAATCAAGCGAAAAATTCGCCTGTCTTTCGGCTTTTTCACATTACTTACTTACTTAAGCTTGTTACCCCTCGTGAAGGAGCATAGGCCGCTTACCAGCATAGCTTTGTAAAAGTAGACCGGAGCGGAAGAGATAGACACGTATAGCCGAAAACCTTTTATATATGAGTGGTGAGATGAAAGAGGTAAATGATAAGATTGCTAGTTATGACGAACCAAAGTAAACACCAATCAAGATTTATGAAAGCTTTGCACTGTGTTTGTACCGATGGTCTTTGATTCATCCATTTAGTCAACGCCCCCTCCCATATCAAAGCAAAAACAATGGAAATACCTCAGAATGATGCTATTATAGTGAATGTGAATGTCAGTCAGGACAATCAAGTGCATTTAAATACAAAATTACAGAATTTCTTAGGGAAATCTGAGAACTACTTCATTTGCAGAATACCAATCGATGGTCTCAAACTTGGCTGTTCCTTCGTTTCTACGCCAACCATTATCTGTTCTAGTTCTTTTTTCTTCAATCTTCTTAGACTTCTGTCACCAAGTATTTCACTTTCGACTGATGATACATACTAGTTATATCTGTCGACGTGAGCAAAACACAACACACTAGTAAAAATGATCATCCCTTCAATTAGGAAGCAGTATAACATCCCAATGATGAACGTAAAGTCAAGAAATTGTTCTTATAAATAATCCCGTTCTTTAATCAGTCAAGCATGGAAATTTATAGAACAGCGACTCCGTATGGTGTTTTTCAAGATATATGGTTCAGTAAAACAAAACTATGATATTTAGTGATGGACCACGTAATACTAAGGAAGTGGTCAAGGACCCAAAATTGTAAAAAATGAATAGTAATGATAATTTACAACATCCGTATCTGTACTTCCTTTTTAATCATATAATCCAAGGAGAAAGCTTCCGAATATCAAATCAAAACACTTATTGCACCAAAGTGGAGAAATTTTGTTATTCAGTAGAGGGAAGTAGGAAATATAATACCTACATGAAATAGGGAGGTAATTCACTAAAACTCTTAATGAGATATTTTTATTCGAATTATTGTTTGTCTACTTTTGGTTTCTACAACCACGTTTGAGAGAGTAAACACAAAGCACACAGAGTGAGTGACAAATGAAGGTAACGTCACACACGGAGTGGAACACTGAGTTATGGTCACAAGTGTAGCATATCTGTTATATTTTTGCTTATACACTGACCTAAAGGATCCTACAAATACCACATTTTGAAGTGTAGGAGCAAGAAGGAGCTCAGTAACTTCCATAATTACCCAGTTTATTCCGAGATTGAAAAGTCATTGGCTAATATCAACTGAACAGTTTTTCTGACGACGATAACAGACTAAGAATTAGGTAAAGATTCATGGAGATTTCCTCTCTATTATAAACAGAATTGACTATTTGTCAATCTTTCTCCTGTCACGCAGTGGACAAAGTATACATCAGACGCCATCTGGAACTTTAATATATCAAGAAACGTCGTGAGGTCGTAGACATCAGAAACACTGTATTACTGACGATCTGTGTGATACACGAATGAAAGAAGAGAGGCAAAGACAGATCAAGCGCATATTTATGTAGGTATCCTGTCCATGGAACACATCAATTATCACAGTTAATCGGCATATACTTTCATTTCTAAATATCCTCGCAGGCCATCACCCTTGACCTCTGGTCTGACTGACTGCAGTCTCAATGTAGAGAGAGGTTTCAGAAGATAGCGTTCTCAAACACCATGCATTTAAGACTTTTTCAAGTTAATGCACACAGCTTACTTAAAAGAAATCTTGCTGATGAATGTTTGTAGTTCGACCTTAACCTATGAGGAGAATTTAAAATCAACAAATGTCCCTACAAAATCAGATCCCAGTTCATATTCACTCAAAATTAATCGATAATTAAATGGTTTTGAACTGAATGGAAGAAGCTTTCTCTTAAAGGGCTTCCGTGTCTAGTAGTAGTGGATCACGAATACCTCCAGGCAGGAACCTATGTACAAGGTTTGCTCGAAAGGCGTTTTTGTCACAACGCAAGACTTCAAAACGTAGGGTACCAACACCTCTAGATCTTTTTCGACTTCGGATACCTCCGGAGGGGAGTTGCCCAAGTAGTAGCTGTAGTCTGCAACATGTCTCAGATGGACTACTTTACACTTTAAAGTGTTAAAGGTATGTCGGTTGTCATCTGAACAAATTTGAGGTCGAGTTAGGTCCTCTTGAATGCCAGTTTATCCTCTCAGTTGCGTATCTCTCACCAGAGTTTCACATCGTCAGTAAAACGTAACAAACCTGACGAAACTTGGTGCGGAAGATCGTTCATATAAATCGCGAAAAAAAAGGTCGTAGTACTGAACCCTCTCTCTCATATATAACTGTCAATCTACCATTTGGCACAATTATTTGAGATGCGGAACTTTATGATGCATGTTCATGCTGCAGAAACTGGTTTGGATGGATATGTTGTGGTAATGGGTCTTAACCATACGAACTTTGAAGCTGAGTGATTAATTACGGAGATTTACTCTCGACATGTAACAGCAAGAGAATTTCAACAATGGTGAAAGCGGCAACAATGAATAAAAATGGCATGGCTCGGACATGTAAGCGTGGTCACGCTGTATCACTGTGATGTTTGAATGAACTAATAACTCCTTTGTACTTGTTGAATGCCTGATTTCGAATTCTTAATACAATACATTCGTTCGTGTTTAT